CTGTCCTATCTTATCATCCTGTTTAGGCTCCACAACATTAAGACATAGAAAGATAATTTCCAGTGCAAACTGTTATGTTAAGATGGGAAATACAAGCAAGTTCTGTGGTTTCATAAATGGGCCTGTTTTAGGCTGATGAATGGAAAGAAATGAAGTTTTGTTTTTCATCATCGTATATCTGGTGTCTGTTACTCAGTCTGACACATAATTTTTAGTGTATGTAGGAAATACTGTATGATGTTATGTTTGGTTGATGGATGAGTGTTTAGGGCTTCCTTGGCAAACACAGGTAAACTGCTCAAGTAGTGAATATTGAATTTGGGCATTTTTTAATTTTCCTAAGTTTTCTGTTCGCTTCTAAATGACGCAGTCCTTTGTGACAATGAAATTGGAAATGCAGTAGCATATCATAACATTTTCTATCTCTGATCCTAGGAATTAGTTAATTCCCTTAACTTATCCTTTGCATTTCAGAAGTTGTGAGTCAATGCTCTTTGGAGGAAGCACATGGCAACATTTAAATCATCCCCTAGGGCTTTTATTCCTGGGTGGCAGCTTCTGTCCTCTAGGGAACTGATTTTATTGTTACAAACTATGGTGCTAGTTAGCTCCTTGTTTCATCAGAGCAGGAACTGATATATACTGAAATATAGGAGACAAAGCCCTTTGTTGGTGGGGAAGGGGCATCCTCCACCGCAACTCCTTATTCCTGAGCTGTACCAAGACTGGCACAGTAACTGGTAGGTGAAAGAGTACTATTGAGCTCTTACATAAGTCACTCTGTTTCATAATTGGGTAGATACAGTTTTGGAAGAAAATCTGTTGAATGCTCAAAGACAGAGGTAAGAATCAGAAAGTCTTAACCAAGAAAATGTCTTGGGGAAATACGGTGATAGTGCAAAACACCTCGTAATCAGAGGATGGGTAGATAATATTTCTTCTTTGAACTCAGGGCTAGACTGGGCATTGACACCTTGGTCATTGACTGTGTCCGAGAGAGGTTCTGAAACAAGTTCTGATACAGAAAGCGCTTCTGATTTACAGATCTCCAGAGAGTACCAAATTAATAAAATAATTTGCTAATCGTTACAGTGCTGTCACTCTTGAAAGAAAGTCAGAAAATTCCCTAAAAATCCTGGATTTTTTAATGATCATTCTTTAGGATGAGTTCTGTGAAGTGGTTAGATACGTGGAGTTTATGGCATGTAATTCTAAGAGGCTGGAATTAGTAGTAGCGATAGCTTTTTAAGTTAGTGTAAGAAAGGAACTTGAAAACAAGGAACCTTGTTTAAAACTAAAGTTAGTGGACTAGGTATTTTAAAAAGAGGATTCTAGAAAGCAAATCGAGGTCTGTGAGCGAGAAACAGAAAAGATTGAATGGATTAATAAAATAATTAGATTTAAAAATATTTTTCTATTTCTTAGCCACTTTTCATTTGTTTATTGTTCTAAAATCCATTCAATCATCCATCTATCCAGCATTCATAGAACATATTAAGGACCTCAGCTTACCAGATGATACCTTAGGTACTGGGTAGATATAGAAATAATGAATGTTCTATGGCCCCAGGGAGCCCAGTGTTTTCTATGTTTTTGGCAGATATAGTATGAACTGAGAAACCAGCATAACAGATTAGTTTTAGTTGGAAGTGTGAATAGAATACAGACATGTGAGCCTAGAAAACCTGTCTATAGAGCTTGTTAGACATGACCTTGACAAAATGGCAGGCATTTTGGAAGCAGACTTCCTGAGAGTAGACAAATGATTTAGTGATAGTGTTCTATCAACATTCAAAAAGAACAATGAGTTGGAAAAATAGGAGACAGTAATGCTTAAAGAGTCAAATGCCTTTATTTCCTCTTTCCAAACTAAGAATTGCTCTTAGTTTTCGAGACCCAAGTTGGGGCAGAGACAAGCACACAGACATCACAGGACAATATGTTGAAAGCCGTAATTTAAGATGATATTTCCTTTTTTCACTTGCTACTTTGTGAAGTACCATGATGATGATGATGATTTATTTAATGTGAGCTATGTGCATGCTGTTTCTGTGTATTAGCTCATTAATCCTTTAATAATACGTAGTAGACAACTGGTGTTATCTGTCTTGCACTGACAGGGTGTGTGGAGGCAGAGCGAGGAAGTGAGCTTCCTGATGTTACACAGTGGCAGTCAGCTGTGGTTAGAGCGCTCCGCATAAATGTTTTATATCAGAAAAGCTCAAGCAGTGAATACTCCTCAAAACATCCTCATGTTGAGATCATCCCATCTCTGACCCTAACATTTTCTTCTTGTCTGCTTTACTATGGAAAGCAACGTGCACAGATCAAGACTGCGTTCCCACCAGCAGTGGAGTAGGGTGCCCTTTCCCCATCCTTAACATCTGAACATTTTTTGTAATGCAGTTATTTATGTAGTTCCTGTGTGGCCAAGGGTCTATCAGTACATGAAGACATTTTCTGCATACTCCCTCCTCTCTGTCTTACTGAATCACGTACATGGGCTTAATATCTTAAGAACAGGGACATACATTGCAGCTGTTTCTGTTTTTCCTTTAGCTATTGAGTTGTACACATCCACAATGGCGGCAGCATTGCCTTCTGTCTACACCATCATCCATATTTTTCTTTTTCCTTTTTAAAATACTGGATTAACATTCAGTTGGTACATTTTCATGGTATACAGTGTGATATTTCCACACGTGGTTACAGCATGTGATGATCAGATAAGGCCATCAGCATTTCTATTTACTTAGCAATTTTTACTATTCAAGTCTGAAAATTCTCTTTTCTAGTTCATCATGAGATGTATCTTTCTGTGATTAAATCAACTTCTATTTCCATAGAATCATAGAGTTTTTGCATATTTTATTTTAAAGATTATTTAGACTAAGGACAGGGTTTTACACACACACAGAGAGAGAGAGAGAGAGAAAGAGAGAGAGAGAGGAAGGGAAAAGCAATGAAAGGAATCTTCCATTTACTGGTTCTCTAAGTAGCTACAATAGCTAGGGCTGAGGCAGGCTGAAGCTGAGAGCAAAGATCTTCTTCCAGGTCTCCCATGTGGGTGCTGGGGCCTAAGCAAATGACCCATCCTCCAGTACTTTTCCAGACCCTAAGCAGGGAGCTGGGTCAGAAGTGGAGCAAAACGACATCCATATGGCTGATAGCTTAACCGACTATGCCACAGCACAAGCTTTGAATTGTAGAGTTTTAGAGCTAGACTATTCCCTACAATTCTTAACGTGCTGGCATAAATGTTTCATGTTGCTAGTAAGAAACTGTCACGGAAAAAGTATGAAGAATTCTTCTCAGTGTCACACAGGTCTTGGTGTCTAAACTGCAGCAGGAATCCAAGTCTCTCTTACTGCTCAAGATTGTTTCTAGCTACCTGCATAAGTCTTATAAGTAGCCCATATTTTCCCAAATTTAATTATTTGTGAAGACTTTGAGGAAAAACTAAAACTACATAAAATGTATAGACAATGTATGTATTTTAAATATTTTTGAGTTATAATAATACAACCAAAGCCTTCACTTAATGAATTTATGTGCTTCCACATCCTACTGTTTAAAAAACAGTTGGGCCTGGCGCCATGGCCTACTGGCTAAAGTCTTCACCTTGAACCTGCAGGGATCCCATATGGGTGCCAGTTCTATTCCCGGAGGCTCCACTTCTCATCCAGCTCCCTGCTTGTGGCCTGGGAAAGCAGTTGAGGACGGCCCAAAGCCTTGGGACCCTGCACCTGTGTGGGAGACCTGGAAGAGGCTCCTGGCTTCAGATATGCGCAGCACTGGCTGTTGTTGTCACTTGGGGAGTGAATCATCGGATGGAGGATCTTGCTCTCTGTCTCTCCTCCTTTCTGTATATGTCTGACTTTGCATTAATAATAAATAAATCTTTTAAAAAAATCAGTCATCTTTCCTGTCTGACTCGAGTCTCAGCTTCTCAGTATATCTTCTTTTTCCTGTAGCTCAGTACAGCTGAGACAGAATATACTCTCCACCATTCCCCCACAATCAGTGCATTTGAATGGTTGAAAGGTGCACAGGGTTTTCAATCAAGCATTGCTTAAAGTCTATTTATAACATTTTCTTGTTTTTATCAGCTACTTTTTGCTTGTCAAATTTGAGACTTTGTAATTCATAAAGATACAGTTCTATCAGCTGAAAGATTCAGACTTAAATCTTCCTCTTCCTTTAGCAGATTCTCCTAATCTCTCAGTTTCATTTTAATCCTGCTTGATGTCATTCAAGTCTATTCTGAAAGTGTTTGTTAGTTGAAATATGAGCATGTTTTTTGGTTTACCAAGAACGGCTAAGTTAAGTGCCTTTCATTCTGGGAGAAACCAGTATTTTCATTTACATCTTCATCTAAGGAAAGAAATTGGACAATAGATAGAGATGATGGTTAATTTTTGAAACCTTGTATAAGACTGCAATCCAATATCTCTTGAGTCATGTAATATTCTTTCAGGAACTGCAGCCTCATCAGATTCTTCCAATTTGTAAAATAACCACTCCCTAGTTAAAAATAAAATTGTTGCTGGATCAGCTTATCCAATATTAGACCACAACTTAAAATTTCAAATTTGCACACTTTCTCAACCAAAATATATATATATAAAGAAATAGATGCATGTCTTCCATTACATGTTTTAAATTTGGATAAACTCAAAAGTACCTGCATATTGCTTATTAAGGTAGGTGCTTGGGGAAAGAATTAATGAAAAGTTGAGTATCTTAAAAATAGCATTTTGTAACACTGACAAGCTGAGATTTGGGCTTTGGATACGTAACACAGTAGATATGCTTCAATGTTTTAATTTATAAGGGCATGCTTTGCTCTTTCCTTATTCTCATTTTTTTTCGGGGATATAAAGTTGGACAACCAAAAGTAACCTAATGCAACCTCTTAACATCAGAAGATGTGTGAAACTGTTTTGCACATTGTAATTTAATTTAACTTAAATGCTATTTATAGTAACTGTGACTTCTTTTTTTTTTTCAAAGCCACAATATGAGAAAAGTTAATTGAAGAAATGGAACCCGCAAATTACACCAGAGTGACAGAGTTTGTTCTCACTGGTCTATCCCAGACTCGGGAAGTGCAGCTTGTCTTGTTTGTTGTATTCCTGTCCTTCTATTTGTTCATTCTTCCAGGGAACATCCTTATTATTTGCACCATCAGGCTTGACCCCCATCTCACTTCTCCCATGTATTTCCTGTTGGCAAATCTGGCCTTTCTTGATATTTGGTATTCCTCCATCACAGCCCCTAAAATGCTGGTGGACTTCTTTGTAGAAAGGAAGATCATTTCCTTCGGTGGGTGCATTGCACAGCTCTTCTTCTTACATTTCGTTGGAGCATCAGAGATGTTCCTGCTCACAGTGATGGCCTTTGACCGTTACGCCGCTATTTGCCGTCCCCTCCACTATGCTACCATCATGAATCGCCGTCTCTGTTGCATCCTGGTGGCTCTCTCCTGGGTGGGAGGCTTTGTTCATTCTATAATACAGGTGGCTCTGATTGTTCGACTTCCCTTCTGTGGACCAAATGAATTAGACAACTACTTCTGTGATATCACACAAGTGGTCCGGATTGCCTGTGCCAACACCTTCCCTGAGGAGCTGGTGATGATCTTCAGTAGTGGGCTGATCTCTGTGGTGTGTTTTATTGCTCTGTTAATGTCATATGCCTTTCTTCTGGCCATGCTCAAGAAGCACTCAGGCTCAGGTGAGAGTACCAACAGGGCTGTGTCCACTTGCTATTCCCACATCACCATAGTGGTGCTAATGTTTGGGCCATCCATCTACATCTATGCTCGTCCTTTCGACTCCTTTTCCTTAGATAAGGTGGTTTCTGTGTTCCATACAGTGATATTCCCTTTACTTAATCCCATAATTTATACATTGAGAAACAAGGAAGTAAAGACAGCGTTGAGGAAGTTGGTCAACAGATACATTTTATGTAGAGAGAAGTGAAATATCATTGTATATCTTCCTGAGGACCAGTGTTTTAAGGTTGCAGTTGTAATGCTGCCTTCACTTGTCCTTTCGTGTGAATTCCTAGACTCTCAGTATGATTTTCACTTCTTCTTTTTGGTGAAATTACAACGACATTAAGTTAGAGATAAGTTTACTCACATATGCCCTGAAATATCTAGCAGATCATTTAACTTATAACATTGATCTGATAACATATGTGTGTTCACTAATTGTTGCATGGCTATCTTAGAGGAACTCTGACTGGGAGGAGATGGCAGATTGAGAAATAATAAAATAGATAAGCCCTGGTGATTCATCTACATGATGAACTAGGAAGTGCAAGTGGCCAACATAGGAATGTGACTACCCTTAAGTTAGCAAACTAAATATTGTGTATCCATCCTGGCCCAGTGGGATGGTTTTTGACAAATCATATTCCCGGATCTGGAAAAACACACATCCGTTTTGTCCTTTATTTTTTGCTTTTCCCTGAATTGATGGAAGTGAAGATTTTCTTTTATACTAGCCACTTCAACTAATATTTCAAGGGCTGACTTTTCAACAGTATTAGCAGTGGAACTCAACATTTTGCCATACTAGGGAAATTATGTTTACGAATTCAAAGAAGAACATAGTTTGGTGGCTAAGTTAGACGCATTCCATCTGGAGCATTTGATTAATAAACACCTCGTTGTGTAATTTTTAAAAAAAACTGCTGTTTTTGGCCCTTTTATGTTTACTATATTTGTTAATTCTGTCTCTCATGTTCAACTTAAATTGACAGAGTGTTCCTTTTGTTGGCACTACAATTCAGAGATCCGTCCCATTAAACCATTTAAAATTATTAGCTAATTAGCTAATTAGGAGAGAGAGGGAGAGAGCAGAAACCCATCAACTGGCTCACCTCCCAAATGCTCATAACATTCAGGGTTCAGGCAGGAGGAAGCTGGAAGCTGAAACTCTCCCCAGGTCTCCCACTTGAGCAGCAGGAACCCAGTTATTTGGGTTGTTGCTGTGGTTGCCACCTTGTAGGTGCATTAGCAGCAAGCTAGAGTCAGGAGCCAGAGCTGGACATTGTACCCTGACACACCAAAATGGGATATAGTTGTCTTAGCTTTTTCACTGACTATAACTACAAATATAAAATGTATATTACAGGATTTGATTTCATGTCATGTATTTATTTACTTAAATTTTCATTTCTCAAAACCAGAGAATCTCTTAATGGAAGAGGAAACGCCTTTTGTGTGCATTGAAATGTATATTTGTGTCTTATTCGATGCTGTAATATGACTATGCTTTGAGGCTTTATATATATATATATATATACATATATAGATACATGTATATTATATCAGGAACCCACATTCACTGTTTTACTGCAGAGATTCTATCTATATATTGAGACTATTTAATTTGTCTCAATTTGTGCCTGATCCAGTGTAACTCAGCTGCACAGGAAGGAGAGATGATACATTAAGTTTGTCCTTTGCTTTGGGACTTTCTCCCTAGGATGATGTCCTGTCTTCAGTGCTACGCGAGGCATGGATTGGAGTTATGATTCTGGAATTTTGAGTTGAATTCCCAGCATTTGGAAATGAACAAACAGTAGACCTCACTAATATTTGCAACAAAAGCTATATGGAAAAATCTGTAAACTACAGAAGTTATACATATATACGCAATAAAAAGCTATGTTTCTAGATTTTATATTACCTTACTGTCATTTCTTTGTATTGGAACCAGTCATAGTTCTGCTTATTTTGTGTTTACCTCTCATCTAACTTGGATTCATCTTCTAGAGAAGACATGCCTCTACTACAGAAGGATATTTGGTGAAAATATTGAGGCTAGCAATAGAAGGAAAACATCCACAAAAACAGCACTATTATAAATAGTTGCAAGTATTACCTGAAATCAGAAACTAATATTAATGAAGTGGGAAACTTTTGGTGAACCACTAAGCAGTAACCTAGTCACATTCATGCATACATGATTTGAAAAAGGACTGAAGGCCATTTCACCCTCTCTGGGAACATTCGACAATGCCAGGAGACATTTGTGTAATCACCAGTTGTGTGGGAACTGCTGTTGATTTGCATCTTGCTTTGCTAAATATTTGACAAAGTAAAGAATATCTACTCCCCAATATAGAGAATACTATATACTCCCCAAAATAAAGAATAAAGACCGAGGGTCAATAGTCCCACTAATGAGAAACTGGGACTTTTTGGAGAATGGACAAGAATAAGTCAGGCTACTGTAGAAGAAAAGGGCATCTAACCACCTTATGCAAAATCTGTTCATGTGCTGTTCTGCCTTCAAAAATCCCAGGACCCCCAGCAGAAAACCACTAAATTTACCCAGGGACTCTGTCCTCACATCTCTCCCTGTTTCCTCTTGATTACTTCTAAATTTCTTTTACTCTTTTTTTTTTATGCCTTTCAATTTCTCCTGTTTTGGCTTCCTTCCAAAAATGCCCTTGAGCATCTATTTTTTCAAGTAACAATATCTGGATTAAGTAAATGAATATCGCTAACTCAAGATGTTGCTAAACTTTGCAAGGCACACTGACTCGTGTGAATTTCAGAATTCAAGTTTCATTCTTTTTGTGACTTTCTTTTGCTAATAGCAGCATTGGCAAGGTGTGCTATTTTTTTTTTTTTTAGTTGTGCCCTGTGTGGTGTAAACCAGGGTGCAGACAGAGAATGGTACACAATGGGACCAAGAAAGAAACTGAGAAACACATAATGAGTGTAAGGCAGGGCCCAGACAAAACTTCCTTCTAAGTCTATTAAGGCTATGAAAGAGGAACTTGCCTGCCCACTTAAGTTTTTATTTCACTGCCTACGGAATCAAACTATAAGAATTTATATGGCACAAACTTTAATAGCCTTGCCCAGTATTCATATTAACTAGCCATTACTTTTTTTAAAAATTTCATTTGATTTTATGACACAATTCATAGTCTCTGGGATTTCCCCAACCCCTTCTCACACCCTCCCCTCATGGTGGGTTCCTCCACCTTGTTGCAGTATTACAGTTCAAATCCAGTCATGATTCCTTCATTGCAAGCATGTGCCATGCATAGAGTCCAGCATCTTATTGTCCAGATAAATTCAGCAGTTTCTTGGGGAGACCAGCCCTGGTCTGAAAGCAGAGCTGACAGAATATCATCCTGTCCAATGAAAAGCTACAACAAAACGTCCACAACAATTTACAACACTATGGAGTTAATTGCCATGGTATTGAGTGACCAGTATGTTAGAAAATACAAGTTCTTATCCACATCCTGTGACTACTTCATTGACATTTCAATTTTAGTTTATACATAACTGGCTGCTATTCACCTTAAAATGGCTGTAGGGTACTATTCAGCTGTCCAGTGTTTATTTTCATTTTTACATTTAGCAGTTTATAGTATTGAAGCATTATTTTTACTGAGCTTGGCACATTTTAGGCTTGTCCGAACTGGCTAATAACTCTAACAAGGCATATGTCAACAGATGAGGCACAGAACAGTTTTTGAGGGGAGTGTGCAGAGAAATCTTCAATACCTTAGTGAGGAGTAACTAATCTTTGTATCCTACCTAGTAAAGTATATCTGAACCCAAGCTGACCGTTTCCTGTCTGTTCTAAGCTTTCTTTATTGATCTCTGTCTATCTAACCTAAATTTTTTTTTGGGGGGGGGGGTGCTCCGGAATGACCCTGATGGTCAATGCAAGAGAGAGTTGGGATCCAAAGCTGAAACTAAATAAGGACCAGAGAAAGCTCCTCTCCCAAGTCCCAAGGAAGTTTACTGTTTTTCTGTTTCAGAGGGCTGCTTGGGGCTCCTGGCTGTTTTTCCGTTGACATTAGATCCTGTGAGGAAGGATCTGGGCTTCTTCCATCCCATGTAGGAGATCCAAAAGGGAGTGGATGACCTCAGAGTTCTTGAACTAGCCATTACTTGATCAGAAAACAATAACATAACTCAAGACGAAAGTCAGTATGAAACTATCTCAAGGAAATCCCCAAAGCATACAGGTCTGTGGTTTTGGCCAAAGGCTGACTATGGACCCCTGCCCTCAGGCCTTGACCTTGGGCCTGGACTTTTGCCCACCTGCAGACCATTTAAGTTACCTGAGTTAAAGTTCTGAGGCTGTGCTATGCAACATAGTAACCACTGCCTTCTCATGATTTTGTGGATTTAAATACATAGATAAAACTTTGGATTCAGTTTCTCCGTCACTCTACCATGCTGGGCAGTGCATTTCTAGATTTTATTTTCTATAACTCGTATTAAGATACTCCCTGGAACTTTTACATAAAGTATTTCTAAAGTCTGTAGTATGAGCAGTTACAAAATTAGTGCTATCTGTTCTTCCTTTCCAAATTAGGGTTATTTGAAATGATATCTTTTATCATTCTCCTGCTAAATATGCTGATTCTGTCAATTATTCGTATATACTGTTGAAAGATTTAAACAGACACTTCAGAAAAGAAGTTACCCGAGTCAGTAGCAAGCTCATAAACATGTGCACATTATGAATCACAGGAAAATTGTTTGCAACACACGACCTAGCATTTGGACAGAGACACTCCCGTTACTCCGAGGAACAGGATGGAAGGAGCTGCAGAAAACCCAGGTGGAAAGCAGGATGTGGCTTAGCAAGTGCCCCTTGACCCTTGTCCTGGACGACAGAGGCCTTGGTGTGATTTAGTTGCCTCCATTGCTTGTTCTTTCTGTGTGGTCCATGGATGAGACTCACTCCATGGTGCCAGGAGGAAAGTTCCTTCTCCTTGCCTTCAGAGGACATCGCCTGTGCACCCGCAGCTGCTCTTTCCTGTATCCACTGGCAGAGAGAAGTAAATGTAGTGTCTTGGGCATGTAGACTCAAGCATTCCACACTCTAACCTATGTAGTAGCTATGGAAGGATTCAGCTTTTTGTTTTGTTTTGTTTGTTTGTTTTTTCTTTTGCAGCTTCATAGTTTTAGGTAGGAAATCAAGGGCTGCTGCTGACAGAATCAGCACAATATGGCATCCATGAACATTCTGGCATCAGAATGTAGGAT